CGCCCAGTCTCAGTCGCCATCTCAGCACCACGGGGGTGGGGGGGGTGGAGGTGGAGCCAGCACAGCTGGCCTGGGGATCGAATCCTCGGCCCCTGCGCCTGCTTGCAGGTGCTTTAATCCGCTGAGCTATTTGTCTAGCCTGAGACCTTGTTTCAAATTTTTTTTTTTTTTTTTTAAGGCAGGGTCTGGACCTCAGTGGTAAACCCCTCCCCCCTTCAATCTCTGAACCAAAGAGGGGGACTAGTTAGGCAAGGCAGGTGGCAGCCCCTGCAAGGATACAGGAACAAACTGCCAGTGACAGGAGCCACAAGAAACAGTCTTAGGAGAAAAAGGAACAAAATGAACAGAGGGCTGAGGGCAGCCTGGGGAGGGGCCAGGGTGGGAGGAGGAGGGGAGACAGGAGGTAGAAGCAGCCCTGAAAGCCTTTCTGTCCCTTATGTGGAGGAGAGCGAAAAAGTACAGGTGCATTAGTCATGTTGTTGTTGTTTACTTGTTTGTTTTATGAGACAGGGTCTCACTCTGTAGCCCAGGCTGGCCAGAGATGCAGAGCGATCCTCCTGCCTCAGCCTCCTGAGTGCTGGGAAGACAGATGTGTGCCAACAGGCTGGCACCAGAATACTGACTTTTAAAATAGAGTGAAGTCTGTGAAAATGTCGTTACACGTCCTTATTTCTCGGTTCCTCCACTGAGTGGTCCAACCTATACCTTTCTTACTCAAAACAGAGCTGCTCATCTCTCTCCTGACCAGAAATACTCTGCAAAAGCCAAGCCCTGGGCAAACACTGAGGTACTGCCCCCGCTTTCCTAGGGTTGGGGAAGCCCCCCCACAGGCCCAGGAGCCCCTAGGGGGCTGCCTTGCCTCCGACCCCTCCACCTCCCTGAAGTGAGGTCTGGTGGAGCGTGGGTGCTGGGAGCAGGGTCTTCACTCTCTGCAGTGCATGCTGCAGGCCAGCACCTTCGGGCACACTGGCAGGGGAAGGCAGATGGCATGAAATCCAGGCAAAGGCATGCTACAGGTGTCAGACTTGCAGAAGGGACCCGGTGTGATGGCATGTGCCTGTCATCCAGGCACTCTGGAGGCTGAGGTAGGAGGATCCCTTCTGGTCTGAGGCCAACCTGGGTTACATAGTGAGACCCTTTCTCAACCCCCCACCTTCATGCACATACACACATTTGAGACTATTTTCCTTAAACGTATTTTTTGATAACACCTAACCTAACGTTTGAAACAAACTTTTTTTTTGAGGGACAGCTGAGCTCAATTGCCTCCAAGGTTATGAAGGGACAGACAGCAGATACAGTGGAGTGGCTGGGTGAGAGGCACGCAAAGGCCTCGTCCAGGGCTGCTGCCGCTGTCCCTCCTGGTGGCTCTGGCAGGCTGCTCTGGAGAGGGCTGCCCTAGCGCTGGTGCCATGTACCGGGGCATCGTATGCAGGACCCTTTTCCTGCGTGCATGCCAACATCCAGGATGCTCCGCTCCTTTCTGTAAAAGGGTGCAACTCTTGTACCTTTTTTTTGGGGGGGGGGTGTCTTTTTTCAGACAGGGTCTTGCTATACAGTTCAAGCTGGCCTTGAGCTCACTTTGTAGCCCAGGCTGACCTTGAACTCCCAACGATCCTGCCTCAGCTTTCCAAGTGCTAGGCGTGCTCCGTCGCGCCTGGCTGTAGCTTAGTTTTGAGATAGAGTACACACGCCCAACTGCCCCACTAAGCTATCATGCTGAGAATCAGGGGCAGGTCAGCACCTAGCTCATTGACCTGAACCTAATAAACGTTTTATTTGTCAAATTCATAGCACAAAACACGGAGAACAGGTCCCTGTCTCGGCCGCGGTCTCCTGAGGGCGGGATGGGCAGAGGTACCCGGCCTCTGCCGGGTTCCCACAGCGCCTGCGCAGGCGCCATAGCCGCTCACTGCTGCGGGTGTGCCCACAGCCTCCGGGGCGGCTAGCCAATAGTCGCTATGAACCCCTCGCGGGCATGCCGCCATGGCCGCTAGGAGCCAATCAGCACCTTGCATCACCTCGGAGACACGCCCCAGGCAGACCTGCCCTCAAAGGCCCGGGACAGTTTGGGGGTTGCCAAGGCAACGGCGCTGACCATCTCAACCCTGCTCCTGAGAGAGAGCGCAAGCTGGAGTCTGGCTGGAGCTGAATTCTTCCAACACGTCCCCAGACCCTGGTCACCTTGGGTCCCTACTGCTCCTCCAGCCTCAATTGGCAATGTCACTAGGACTCTCCGCTCCTTCCCTGGCCCTGAGTACAGCTGTTCCTGATGGCAGCGGCAGGGTGGCACTGAATGCCGCTCTCCACTGCAGAAATATAGTGTGTTCACCGCCGCAGGATGGGATTCAGATGTCCCCACCGGCTTGTCTACGCTGGCTTGCTCTTGCTCCACAGGGTTCCGGGCAGAGATGACAGATTCCTAGATGACAGATTCGGGTGAGTGTGGTGGTGTACATCTGTAATCTCAGCATGCAGAAAGTTGAGGCAGGAGGCTCCTTAGGAGCTCAAGGTCAGCCTGAATTACATAGCTAGACTGTGTCCACCCCTCTCCCCCAAAAAAGGGCGTGGGTGGGCTGGGAAATGTAGCTGATAGGACAAAGGGCCTGGATTCAATTCTCAGTGTTGCCTCAAAGAGGCCAGGAAGCTAGCACAAGGCTCTCCAGTGAATAAAGGGTGTTGGCTGACTGCCCCGAAGTGCATCCCAAGTCAGATTCATCTCTGGCTTTTAGAACTAGTGGGCAGGCATAGCCTGTGTTGGGATCACCAGGAGTGGAGGGGTGCCCCTGGGGTACTGTAGGGGCCAGAAATGAGTGGCACTGGCTCTGCGCAAGAACAGGAAAAGCAGGGCCGGGGAGTTAGCTCAGTAGAATAAGTGCTTGCCTGGCAAGCACAAGGGCCTGAGTTCAATCCCCGGTTCTGAAAAAAAAAAAAAAAAAAAAAAAAAAAAAAAGAACAGGTAAAGCCCGTTGATGCATTTGCTTGGCCTTTAGAGGCAGAGACAGGAAGTCATAGAACAAGTGCTGGCTGCCTTAGCAAGGGCCGGGTCCCACACAGGGGCTGCTGCACATGCTGGGGGAAGACACTACAGGCTTCAGGGACCAGCAGATAAAACTCGATGCCACCTGGCAGAGGAGGGGAACCAGATGAAAAGTGGCTGGGATAAGATCCCAAAGTCAGGAGTGGTGGTACAATCAGGAGGCTGAGGCAGGAGGATCACTGTGAGTAGGAAGGCCAGCCTAGACTACACAGTGAGACTGTGTCCCCAAAATACAAACAAAACAGTCCCAAAGGAACACCCTGAGGGGCTGACATCAGAGTACTCTGAGAAGGGCAGGCACAACCACAGAAATTGGTTGGCTGCCAAAGTACCCAGGGTGCCACATTCATCCACCAGGCCTAGAAGCCTGTGTGGTGGACTGCACCTCTAGAGGTGTAGGCCTGGGCACCAAGCAGCCTGCGTGGGGCTGTGGAGCACCTACCGCTCTATGTAAGGTGCTCCAGCCGGAGCACTTCACATGCTCTGCGTGGGGCGAGGGCACCTGACCCCTCAGCTCAGTCTTGCTCCTCACAGATGGAAGGAGTTGTTCGGGGGAGACCTAGAGGCAATTAACAGAGGACTTTATCTTATTTGACAGGGTCTTGCTATGCAGTTCAGGCTGGTCTTGAGTTCACAGCGATCCTTCGGCCTCCGCCTCCCCAGGACTGGGACCACAGACACACGCCACTGTTCCTGGCTGGAAATGCATGTTTTACTGCTTTAAGAGGAGGACACTGAGAGTGCTTGCCCGGCACATGCTCCATCCTCAGGACCACAACAAACAAGAAAAATATTTGGTCTCTAAATTAATCTAGGTTCAAATTTGTCCTGATTTTCAGCATGTGCATCTGATCAGGGACACAGCCCTGTGTCCTCAATGTGAGATGGCACCAGGGAACAGTCCCTGGCCATATTACGTGAGGCTTTGGGGGGCTGTGAGCAGAGGGAAGTGTACAACTCATCGTGGGCTCTGGGCTCCTGGGCCCAGGCTGTGTAAACAGGACAAATCTCAGCCTCTCTGGGTGACTCTCCACTCAGGAAAAGGGGAATAGGTGAGCCACAAGAGGCAGCAGGCACTAAGTGCTCGGAGGCACGCAGGGCACACTGGAGGAGCTTGACAGAGAACTCCCAAATCCTCTAACCTTCCACCTGTGACTGTGAAGTAGGTGGTGGGACTGGCAGTGACAGCCAGCCAGACACAGGACCTGAATTCAACAGTCTAGACTCAGCCCAGCAAGGTGGCACATGACTATCACCCCAGCATGCAGGGGGCTGGGGCAGGGGGATCAATGTCCATTCAAGGCCAGCTTGGACTGTATAGCAAGAACCACACAAATACAATCTGGACTTAGAATAAAAGGACACAGAGGAGCCAGAGGGAGTGAAAGTGGGGCCCGCTTCAGGTTCCAAAAGGAGGGAGACCTCAGAGGTGGGAGGAGAGAGATGCTGTGACACCAAGAGCCAGCCACACCAGGAGAGGACCTAGAACAGAGGCCCTGCTGAGGTTTCCGGCTGCACTGGGCCTTGCAGTCAAACCCAAGACATGGGGGTGGGGCGATGGGGGGGTGCAGAGGAGCCCCAGATGGTGACAAACCCATGTTTTGCAGACTCAGAGTGGAAAGGTTTACTTCCAGTAACATGCCTTCCCTGGGGATCCCAGGCCACCCTGCAGGCTGCAGAGTCGCACCGTCCCCTGGCTCAGTGAGTTCACCCCTCACTGTGTCGGCTAGAGTGTCAGTCTCAGAGCCACAGCCTTCCCAAGGGCTACCCTGTCTTCTGTCACAGCAGGCAGACAGACCAGGAGAGGCCACATCCATCTCTCTTCTTTTTTCTTTTGTTCGTTCATTCATTTGTTCATTCTTTCTTTTTTGAGACAGGGTCTCCCTATTTACCCCAGGCTGCCTTTGAAATCACTGCGATCCTCCTGCCTCAGTCTTCTCAGTGCTGGGATGACAGGCAGAACCACTCCAGGCCAGTCCTCACATCTCCTACCCCAAGCAGCCATAGTACCACATGGAGGAACTGGTCCAGAGTGTTTACCAGGATGTACCATAAAAAAACTAATGTCCTTTAAAAAACCCTAAAACCTGAGATGAGCAAGAAAGAGCCAGACTCCCACGCCGGCCCACTCTTCCAGGAGATGCAGATCACCCCAGTTGGGGAGTGCAGGCTTGCCGTGTGCGTGCAGGGAGGCGATGGCCTGGCCAGACGCGATCCAGCTTCCTGTCCTTCATCGGCTGGACGGCCGGGCGCCCCACTGGGGTGGACGAGGCTACAGGGTGGAGTCCATGAGCGTGTGGCCGTTTTCAGGAGGCTCGAGGCGTGTGTTGGCTCCAGTGCGGGTAGAGGCCTGGGCCAGGGCAGCCTCGCGGGAGGAGCGGCGCAGACGCAGGCAGCACAGCAGGCGGCGGAAGGTGCGGCGCATCTCGGCATCCCGGCAGGAGTACACGGCAGCGTTGACCAGGGAGTTGGACTCCGCCAGCAGCAGGAAATACTTCTCCACCGCCAGGACGTTGCAGGACTTGCAGTCCAGGCCGTCCAGGAGCAGCACGACCTGGCCCGGCGTCCAGCAGACCACGAAGGCCCCTGTGGGAGGCAGGCTGCGGTGAGCAGGGGCCAGGGGGGCCGGGTGGTCCCAGAGCCCACACAGGGCAGTGGCTGCTGACCCTGCGGCCTCAGGAGGTAGGCAGAACCCAGGAGGGCACAGCTTTCTTAACCGCCACAAAGTGGTGGCCCAACTGCTTCTCTATGGAGATTTGTTCAGCAAGGAAAAAGCAGTCACTGTGGGAGGCTGGTTGGTTACCTGAGGGGAAGGCATTAGTTAAGACAGTCCAACCGTGCTCTGGGGTGGCAGGTATGTCCTCATTTAGTTCCTTCTACATCCTGGTAGCCAGAGAGACCATAGTACTCGCTGCCAGAATCTCTTAAGAGCCAGGCAAGGTGGCACATACCTGTAATCCCAGCTGCCAAGGAAGCTGAGGCAGGAGGATCACAAGTTTGAGACCAGTGTGAGCAACTCAGTGAGGCCTTGTCTCAAATAAAAAAGTTGGGCATGGTTGCATACGCTGGTAATTCCAGAGACCTAAGAGGCTGAGACAGGAGGATCGCAAATTTGGGGCCAACATGGGCAGTTTAGTGTGACCCTGTCTCAAAATGGAAAAACTATCTGTAATCTCAGCACTCTGAGGCTAAAGGGGGCGGGGAGTGGTTTGCAAGTTTGAGCCTAGCCTGGTCCACTTAGAGAGATTATGTCTTAAAGAAAATAAGAAGAGACCAGTGGTATACACAAGTAATCTCAACATTCTGGAGACTGAGGCAGGAGGTATTTAGGAATTTGAAATTAGTCTGGGCTACATAGTGAGTTCAAGACTAGCCTAAACTATACAGCAAAGCCTTGTCTCAAAAATGACAATAAAAGAAGCAAAATCAAAAGCAAAGCCAAAAATAGCCACATGTCGTGGTATATACCCATCATATCACAGCACTTGGGAGGCTGAGGCAGGAATATTGTCCTGAGTTTGAGACCAACCTGGGCTACACAGTGAGTTCAAGGCCAGCCTCAGCTACATGGTGAGACCCTGTCTCAAGATAAATAAGCAAGCAAAAATAACTAATGACATAAAAAGGGTGGGGGGCCAGGGAGATGGCTCAGTAGAATAAATGTTTCCCTGGCAAGTGCAAGGGCCTGAGTTCAATCCCCAGTTCTGAAAAAAAAAAAAAAAAAAAAAAAAAAAAAAAAAAGGACTGGTGATACAGCTCAGTGCCAGCGCTCAGAATTCAGTCACCAGTACTGCAAAATACAAAATATAAAAAAAGGCAGGGAGAGTGGGTGCTGGGAACATAGCTCATGGAAAATGAAAGCTTCTCTGGTTTTAACTTCAGTACAAAGAAGTAAAAAAAGAAAAAAAATTAAAAAGGGGGCCGAAAGGCTGGGAAGATGGCTCAGTAGAATAAGCACTTCCCTGACAAGCCCAAGAGCCTGAATTCAATCCCCTGTTCTGGAAAAAAAAAGGGGGGGGGGACTACCCGTTTAGCCGCCCCCCCCCAGGAGCTTTTTTTCTCTCAATAAATATATTCTGCTCAAAAAACAAAACAAAACAAAAAAGTGGGGGCAAGGAGATGGCTCAGTGGAATAAGCGCTTCCCTGGCAAGTGCAAGGACCTGAGTTCAATTCCCAGTTCCGCAAAAAGAAAAAGAAAAAAAAAAAAAAAAAGGCTAGGGCGGTAGCTCAGCTCAGTAGTAGACATCCCTGGATTCAGTACTGCAAAACACAACACAACAGCTTGCACAGTTCCTATGTAGCAAAGAGGACATCTGACCCTGTCCCTGACCCTTAAGGCCCTGCCGACCCTCTGTTCTAGTCCTCTTTCTTGTTGGAGACACTGAGCCTGGCACTGGGGTGTCCATTGCTGTGCCCTCTGCTTGGGATGCTTCCTGTTCCCTGTGGGGAGGGTCATCCCACCCTTCCCAGTGGGCCCGTGACCACTTGTCCAGGTCACTATTCCCAGGGCATTCGGAGGTCCCTGTGGCCCAGGCAGATGAGTGTCCCACTTACCAAGGATGATGACCACGGTCTTGACCAGGCTGAGTGTAGTCTCTCGGTAGTGGGGATGGCAGCTGACATGCTCGGCCATGCGCTGCACTCGCCTCCGCACATAGAAGAAAATGCGGGTGTAGACGGCGACCATGAGCAGGAAGACCAGCAGGCTGGTCAGGGCCCACACGGCCAGGTAGGTGCGGCTCAGCAGGGGTGCCATGCGTGAGCAACGGTCCAGGGCGCACAGGCAGTGCCAGGAGTGGGCAGGCAGCAGCCCCAGGCCCAGGGCAGCCACCCACACGCCCACAATGAGCAGGACCACACGCCCGCGGGGCAAGCGGCTGTGCAGCTGCACGGCCATCACGCTGCGGTGCCGCTCCACTGCGATGGCCAGCAGGGTGGCCACGGATGCCGTCAGGCTGGTGTCCAGCAGACCCTGCCGCAGGAACCAGCCCTGGAGTGAGAGCCGAGCAGTGCGCGGGCCTGTGTGGAACATGAGGAAGAGGTAGGCCACGCCAGCGAAGAGGTCAGCCGCAGCCAGGTTGCCAAGGAGATAGTAGATGGGCTGGTGGAAGCGACGGTTGGAGGCAATGGCCATGATGACCAGCAGGTTAGTCAGGAGGACAAGCACGCTGACAGTCAGCCCCAGGGCCACCACCACCACATCCTTGGGCCGCCAGTGAGAGCTGAGCTCCTTGCCACTGTTGTTGTAGAAGAAGCCAATGGTCTCATTGTAGTGGCACTGGCCCATGGTGGCCGTCTGGGGACATAGGGAAAAAAGACGGAGGTCAGTGCTGGCGGCCCCTTGAAGGACACAGGGCAGGCGGCAGCTGGGTTGCAGGGGGATAGGAAGAGCCTGGGCTGCACAGCTGAGGGCTCTGAGCAAGGTGGGGACAAGGGTGACCTAGAAAAAGCAAGTTCACGGGCGTGGGTGTGGGGAGCAGATGCTCTTATCTAGTGAGGAGACTTATGAATGAGCTCTCTCAGATTCATGGCTCCTTTTACTTTTTAGCTGGAAAAACCAAACAAAACGTGTCCGCAGTCCCATCCTGGCCCACACGCCTCCAATCGCCGGGCACTTGTGGCTGCACGGAGGGGTGCAGGAGTGCGAGGCGTGGAGGGGACCAGAAGTTGGGGCGGCGGCCGGAGCAGCGCTGGGCGGCCCGGTGTGAGCGAGAGCGCTCGGACGTAGGCGGGCGCCGGGCCGAGCCTGGGGCGCCTGAGGTGCCCAGCGGTCTACGGGACAAAGAGGGCGGCGGGAGAGAAGGGGATGGCGGGGCCTCCCGGCGCCCCGGGGGGGGGAGGGGCTGGGAGGAGAGGGGCGGCCTGCGGTCCGGGCTACGCATGCTCAGCCGCGGCGCTGGCCTTACCTGGGCCACCTGTCAAAGCGCAGGCCAGGCAGGCTCGCGGGGGGTTGCGGCTGGCCTGAGGTTCATGGCCCAGCAGCCCGCGCAGGGCTGCGTCTGGGTATGCCAAGCCCGCGCCTGAGGAGGCGGGGCGGGCCCACTAGCCCCGCCTACCTCCCCAGTCCCGCCTCTGACACGCCCCCAGAGGAACCAACGGCCGAGCCTCTGAGAAGCCCCGCCCCCAAAGCCTGGGACACCTGGGACGCCCCGCCCCAGGCCCCACCCCCTGGGCTGTCCCAGCTACTGGCAGCGTCCGAGGTGGGATCGCCTGCAGCCCCAGCCCCCCATTTCCTCCCGCTCCTTCTTCGGTCACCCCTCTTCACTTCCGGCTCGGACCACCACTCCACTTTCCGCTCACCTCATGCGCACACGGTTCCGGGCTTTCGGGGTTAGTCCTCAGGGACCCGCGGATTCCTGCCGAGACCCCGCGCTGCCTGCCGGACTGCGCCCCTTCCCCAGGCCGCGCCCCCGTCTCCCTAGTGTCCCTCGAGTCCAATCGGCCGCTGCACTGTGAGCTTGCCCCAGCGAGATCTGGCTGCCTCGGCCTTGTGACCCTGGCCCCCACCTGGGGTGAGCGACTCCCACAGCGCCGAGGCACACAGCCCCATTGTGCAGCTATCTGCGCTTGGTTACATCTGTGATTACACAGGACCAGATGGGGACACAGAGCGCCAGGCTGGGTGACTCAGCGGCGTGTCCAGGCCTTGCCCTGATTGCCTTTGGGCTTTTAGGGAGCCTGCACCTGATAGGGGACCTCGGTTTCCCTAGCGAGTAAAAGGAGCAAGGGTGCTGTTCTGGCAAGTGGCCTTTCCCCTGTCACCCTCCCCTCGCCAACTCCTCTCCCCAAGACAGACACACAAGGGCATGCAAGACGGTTTATTCAAAGGCTACCAGTCCTGAGCGCCACCAGGAAGTGGGGTCTGGGCTGTCCACATTCTCCTCCAGTTGGTCAACTGGGGTCGGTGATGGGGTGGCGTGGAATGATGACTACTGACATAGCAAGAGATACCCTTGTCCTTGAGTTAGAGACCTGGCTAAACTCCCGAGAGTTCGTGACTTGTATGGACCCCAAACGACCTCCAACCCTGAGTGCCCCTGCTGCTTGAAACAACAAGTCTGGTGGTTAGTTCCTGGGATGCTGAAATTGCACCCCAACGTATTTTAGGGCTCTCCTTACAGGAACTCTGAATACCCAACAACGAACTTCTGCCTGATGTCTGAACGCTGCCCAGTGGGGGGCCTTGGGTCCATCCTCTTGGTCCTGGCTCCTAGCAGGGTGGAGTGGTCAGAAGTGGTCCTCGGCTTCCTCAGGCTGGGGCTCTGGGAGGCAGGTGGCCCTGGGCACAGCCTTGCTGTCCAGCTTGGAGAGCAGCCTGGCTGTCTCCTGGGTGATCTCAAAATGCTTGGGCAGGGGGGCACGGCGCAGGGGGCTGCCCTCACGGGAGGTGGCAGCCCGCAGACTCCCCCCAGACATCACAGGGACCGGGGCCTCCTCACATAGTTTGGAAGCCACCAGAGCCAAGCCCGAGAGCTGCTGGGTGACAGGCCGCAACCCTCCACGGGGATACTTCACTGGCTGGCGGCTGAAGTGACCACGGGACTGTGTCCCCAGGAGTGCATCCTCAGGGCCTTGACTGGGCACTGTGGGGTGGAAAATGCTGAGTACCCCAAGCCTCCCCAGGGCCAGGCACCCCTGTACTCCTGACTGCACCCCAACACACCTTCCCCTCCTCTGTCTCTTGGGTTCTGGGTGTCGTCCTCCCTTTGGTCACTCTGCGTAGCCGCAAGCTGCAGGAAGAAGCTCAAGGGTAAGACCCTAATGAGAAAATCCCAGGGCTCTGGGCCTAGCAGACCCTCAAGTTTGTTCCTAGATGTGGAGAAGTTCCTTGCAGTTTGACATCTGGGGATAAAGAAGGCCCTGAAGAGCATGCTGGTGGCAAATGCTTGTTATTCCAGCACTCTGGGAAGCCAAGGCAGGAGGATCACAAGTTCTAGCCCACCCAGGTATTTAGCATACCCTGTCTCAAAAGAAAATACTCAGAAACGGTCTGGAGATGGAGTTCAGGAGGCAGGTCCTGGCCCAGCCCCTCTGTGGTAGGACTGCACTCTGGACAGACTCCAGGCACACCTCCCCACAGGGCCTTTGCACGGGCACGCCCTCTGCCTGGCATCCTCGCCTCATTCATGCTGGGCTCACTGTGCCCACGCCCTGGCCGCCTTCTTATATCCACTTAGGCTGAAGGAGCCACATGCACTTGGAGCATTCTACAGAACTGATTTTGAATGCAGCTCACTCCTCTCTTCCTCCCTCCTCCCTCCCTGCCTCTCTCCCTCCGTCCCTCCGTCCCTTCCTGCCTTCATCTTCCTAGTGACCACTTTCTCTTTCCTCCCCACCCTAGTCCTGGATACCTTTTCCATGCACACAAGGGAGCTCCTTGTGTATCACTGAACCTGCCCCTCAAATTTTGCCCCTGCCACAAGTCCATGAAGTCTCAGCCTTCCTGTGTCAGCCCTGCCATCGATTCTCTCCATGTCCTTCTCAATAAAGGCTTTTCCATCCCTTCTACTTCTGCTTCTCTGCTGCTGCCACAAGAATCTCTCTCTCTCTCTCTCTCTCTCTCTCTCTCTCTCTCTCTCTCTCTCTCTCT